AGGTTGCCAAAGACATGTTGTAGGCTTGTGTTCTTAAGTGGTCTACAAGGTGGGAATGATTTTATCATTGGTCAATTTCTCATGAAAATAATAGTTATCAAGCTAGTATCAATATGATATTATATGAGGCATTGTATGGTAGAAAATATCAATCGATGATACATTAGGATGATATTGGTTAGAGGAAAATGCTTGGACTAGAGATGGAGCAACAAACAACCGAGGTCGTAAACCAAATCGAGTGCAAATGAAAACGACCCAAGATCGCCGGAAAAGTTATACCGATAAGAGAAAGAAAGACTTAGAATTTTAGCTTGTGTATAATGTGTTTCTAAAGATTGCTTCATTGAAATGAGTGATGCAGTTTGGGAAGAGAGGAAAGCTAAGCTTATAGAACGTAGGGTCATTTGAGGTTCTAGAAAGAATCGATGATATAGCTTATCAATTGAATTTACCTCCATCTCTTGCTATAGTGCATAATATTTTTTATATCTTTATGTTATGGAAATACATTGACGATATGAGCCACGTCTTAAGATTCGAGTTGTTAGAAATGAAATCATATTTGAGCTACAAAGAGGGGCCTATTTAAATTTTAAGTCAAAAGGTCAAGTAACTAAGAAACAAACGCATTTTGCTAATTAAAGTTTTATAGAAGAATTACAACACGGAAAAAGCTACGTGGGAAAATGAGGCTGAAATGAGGGCGAAGTATCCCGAGTTATTTGAGTAAGCCGATTTTGAAGATGAAATTTTTGTACGAAGAAGAGGATGTAATGACTAAGAACGTTGAGTATTGTGTGTGTGTGTGTGTGTGTGTGTGTGTGTGTGTGATTTACTTGATGTTATATGCCTATATTTGCATTGTCAAAAATAGTTATGTCATGATATGCTCGTTTACGTCAACAAAAATTGACAAACCATAACTTGCAATTTTCTTATCATGTTGTATCCTTGATTGTCGAATGTTATGCCTTGTTTTCCTTTAGTGTTATATGTATTGCTTGTATGTGATCTTATAAAAACCCTATAGTGATTCATGCTTAATTGAGGGGTTTAGCTAAATTAATTGAACAAGTGTAAGGGGACTTAATTTTACCTTGAGTTAGTGGAAAAATACATGTCGTCATCTAAGTGCATGGATTAGTTAGCTAGGGAGGTGTTACCATATAGGATTTTTAGCCATGAATTAGCATTATAAATAGGTGAAAGTTTGCTTTGGCTAAGGTTTTGGCCATTTTGTCTTTATAGAGGAAAAACATATAGAAAGACGAGCTTGAGAGGGACCTAGCTAAAAGGGAGGAAGCTTTGGGCAATTGGTCGAGAGATAGGAAAAGGGGTAAGGTGAAGTTCTTTTCTTCAAGCGTTTTCCTTCATCTCTAGCTTGTCTAAGTAAGTGTAATCTTAACTGGATCACAAACTTAGAGGTCTTAGGCTTTTATGTGTTAATTGATATATGTGATTGATTACGGATGGTTTAAGCTTGATATGTTTATACAAACACTTGATGAATTAATTATTTAATTGAGGTTTGTTCATGTGTTTATGTGAGGATAAGTAAGTATAACTCTCACCTACATCACAAGACCTAATGTGTATGAGTTTCATTGTTGAGAGATTATGAACATCCCTATTGAATTGCTATGTTTTGGGTGAATTCTTGCCGAATTGCTTGGACAATTGCTTGATGCATTACTTTGAATGAATTTTCTTAATTTTCTTAAGCATGATGAGGCATGTTACTTGGCTAGCTTATATGAATTCTTGCCGAATTGATCGATAAATGCTTGGTGTCTACAATTTCGTAACTTGTGTGAATTCTTATTGAATTGATGGATAAATGCTTAATGCTTACATTTTTGTATTTTGTGTGAATTCTTATTGAATTGATGGATAAATGTTTGGTTCCTACATTTTTGTAGCTTGTCCGAATTTTTCTCGAATTGATGAATAATTACTAGGTGCCTAAACTTACATAGCATTGTGGGATGAATTCAAGATGAATTGGCATTGAAATTTTTAAAATCATGACATGGCATTGATATTAGATTTTATGAACTTATTTTTTAAGCAAGCAAAGAGATTAAGTGCACGTTCCTAGAGAGGCCATCCACGAAAATGATCAAGTGTATACCTAAGGTTGTCTCTCGGCTCGACTATGTCTTGTTTATGATGTTTTCATCAAGGTTTTAAAAAGAATGAAATCAAACATTTGACTAGACATGATTGAAAGACGTAAAAGAATTTTCTTCATGAAAATATCTTTAAAAAACTTATGCATAGTTGCACTTATTGAGCCTTAGCTCATAATTTATATCTTGTGGTATAGGTAACCTTAATGAGGCCTAGAGCATACTTGTGATTTTAGAGGTGTTGCTAGACGCATTTGAGTTTGTTGAGATGTGTAATATAAACATAAGTTTTAAGTTCATAGTTTAGATATTGTCCATGTAATATGCATTGCCTAGTTTTGGTTTATAAAAGCATGTGTAAATAACATTTTTTGCCATGACAATGTATGAATTAATTGATATTTTATGTAATGAAGCTTTATTTTGTAAAACTTGCATTGGCCTAATTTACGTTGAATGTTTTATGTTAAAACATGCTCTTTTCATCAATGAAATATTTTTAGGTCATGACATGGAAATTTACGTTGACTTTTTATAAGTTGAACCAAGGTTACCACATGTTTATATTCTATGCCTTTGAGCTTTAAAAAGAAAAGGTTTTTTTTTTTCTATGCATTTCATGTCCAATACAAGTCCCAAGTCATAGGGTATTGTCGTGCATTCAATGAGTGTAGGACATGGCTACGACATGCCTATCCTCTATTGGTCGAGCATGTCATAATTGTGTCTAGTGCTCTATAAATGTTTGATCCTCCCATAGCACTCGTGGCCTCCACGTTTGGGTCGTGATGCTACAAAATCAATGGTTTAAATAACCCGATCAATACATTCCTAAACCGAACCTAGGTTCCATATGTGTAAAGGCCTTGTGAGTCTTAATCCAAAAGCCAATAATCATTCAAATAGGAAGAAATGGCATAGCTATTACTAGCATATATCCCGCGTGTTATCGCGGGATGAGTTATATAACATTCTTATGCATTCATTCATATAAAATGTAACATTTACAAATCATTATTTAATAATATCATGTGAAAATAATAATAAAAAAAGTACAACATATATTTCATAATTTGCTACGGGATTAGCTCAACGAAAAGTCCGTAAAGTTGAGTAATATAATGTTGCTAATTAGATATTGTTTAATATAAACATGTATTTTATTTAAAATATGTATAATAACCGATAATTAAAATAATAATGTGATAGTTTTTTAAATTTTTGATGATTAATTTTTATCATATATTATTCATTTGTAATTTGTTAATCGGACAAAGAGACCACCCAAAACAAAAAGACAAAAAAAGCTTTGTCAAATCGAGAATTTGACAAAGAAAATAGAGATAAAATTACACACAATAAAAATTAAATGACTAAAACAAAGTAAAGATCATAAAAAGGATTAAAAAAAAAACTTTCACTAAAAGCATACAAAACAAAACTTATAAACAATAAGACTAAAAAAAATTTATTATGCATAACGCAGAACAAAAGTGAACATTATAAAATTTTAATGACAAAAATAAAAAAATTTAAAAAATAAGAATCAATACGGAAAATTTTTTCACTAAAAAAAAACACTAAGAATAGTTAAAATTTATTTAATTTTAATGTAGAATGAATAATAATCAAATAGAATAAAAGTTTAATAATCAAAATAAATGAAACATCATAAAAAAAAAACCAAAATATAACAAAAAGTAAAAAATACTTCCTTGTAGAGAAAAAAATTTAAAGATCAAAATAAAAAACAATTACAAAAAAAGACAAAAAAAAATTACTAAATTTAATAACGAAAACAAAGAAAAAAATCACAAAACGAAATTAGAATAGAAAGAAAATTTCACTAAAAAAAAAAAAACAACCTTAGGATATTAAACTTTATTTAGTTTTAGTATAGCAAGGATAAAAATCAAATACGAGAAACTTTAATGAGTAAAATAAAAACATATTAAAAAATAGAAATAAAAAAAGAGCATAAATTTTTACTAAAAACTAAAAAAAAATATTATAAGGATAAAAATCACATATAATAATATTTTAATAATTATGATAGGGATGAAAATTAAATATAAGAAAATTTTAATGACCAAAATAGAAAAAAATAGAAAGAAGGGACCAAAATAAAAAGCAATTTCCTAAGCGAGCAATTGAAACGGCAAAAAAATAAAAAACAAGGCCTACACGCTAGAGCAGGTCGGGCTTGTGGGTCAAGCTTAGGTCGCTCAAGACCAAAAAAAAAAAAAAAAAAAAGGCTGCAATTTCTAATGAATCGAGGTTGCAAGAATCTTCGTCAAAAAATCTAGGGTCATGTTTCGGGCTCTTAGAAATTGAATTTTGACTTTTTTTTTCAAACACTTCTAAATAACTGGAATAAAGCCAATAATCATATTTAAAACCTTAAAAATCATTTTAATGCACACAAAAAAAAATCGAAACATTGCTTCCTTTTTTGGCTTCGATCTGCTTCCTCTAATTGTTTAATGGCTTGAAACAACCATGGATAAACTCATCTCTCAAAGATAAAAAAATCTAATGGATTATTGCCGACCAAAGTGACCTAAATAAGTTTGACCAATGATCTCTCTATCCTCTCTTCTCTCTCTTCCCCCTCCTTTCTCTCTCTATCCACGGACCAAAATGGATGAGCAAATGAAGATGTAGATCAAAATATTCATTGGCAAATATTAAGGACCAAAGTATAAAAAAACTCATGAATAGTGAAATATTAATATATGAACAGTATTTGAAACAATAAACCATCTTTGTTTTAGTTTATTTAGTTAATAGACATTGAAATCCGTCCCTTTTTCTTCTCTGATCGGAATGGTATAGCATTAAAATCTGTACCTAGCAGCCATGGTTCAGTCATCTGGGAAGGAATAGTTTGCAAGCCTTGCCAAAATCTAGTGCAGATGTGCCCTTTAGGGAGAGCATAAATAGCTGAAAGGAGGGAGTGCACATTCACCTAGTGAACTCTAGTATGCATAATTTTATTGTTATTTATAAGGACATCAACCAAATGATGACTATCATTTTAAAAGATTCAAATACCACCTGAGAACCCTTGAGCTTCAATTCTATGTGAGTGGGAGAACCCAAGCCATTTAACAACTAAATCTACCCTTGCACCACTGTTTCGAGGCTCAAAAATAGCAAGAATTTTGGGCTTATGTCTTTTAATTAAGTCTTCACAAACAACTTTGAACAATCTATACCGAGCCCCTTAATAATTCCAAGAAATAATAGTCATCAAAAATATTTAAAAAATGGGCTGGGACAACGTAAACCTTTGGAAGATGAGGAATGACAGTCTTGGTCCTTCCCTTCAATTCCTTAATAATGGGTTCATATAACAAGCCATCATCTTTGGTAGTTACCAACATAACCTGCTTTATCTTAGCATTCTTGCTGTAGTTAGAATGCAAAACTTTGTAGGTGGCTTTGAGAATAGGAATTGTAGCTTTACCCAAATCCTTATTCCTCTTCTTAGCCGAGACCAATAAGTTGGGTGGGTCATCTATGGTGATTGGAACAACAATACCCATTCCTGACTTCAAATCCCCAATCAGCTCTGTGCTCTCTTCTCCATTAATGGACTCACCTAAAATGGAAATTTGGTCAGTCTCTGTCGGCTCAACTGTTGGAAGTTCCTCAATGTTGTCAATGATTGTCACGATCGTGTGTCTATCCTCGTCTCTACTTCTCTGAGTATTTGATTTCATGTCTCCATCGGTCCCTTTCTGGATCCTAATTTGTTTATAGCTAGGGATTTTGTTGCTATTGCTGGTAAAATCAGAAGTCTTGTTGGTAGGCTAGGTCATAGTAGCGGATGTAGAGGCTTTAATTCTGTCCTGTTAGGCTTTTTGGGAGTTGAACTGGGCCTGACTAAGGTACGAAGAAGTGGCTCGCTTATTACTAATATCAGCTTGTGAAGCCCTAACCACCTCAGTATCTTTATCTTTTAAAATAGCAAAATACTAATTTGTTTTTCTGTGCTATGTTACGAATTGAATAAAATATATAAAATTATTTAAAAAAATTATTTCAGTTTAATAGTCTATTTTATTATTTGAATTTATAAAAATATATAAAATCAAAAATAAAAAAAATTATTAATAATTTTTTAATCAAAAATTTATTATTTAACTATTTCTTATTTGTGTTTTTCATAATTTTTCTTTTAGAAAAATGATTTATCCTTGTTAATTCATGAATTATTACTAAAAAGAAAATTAGATAATTTTTTTAAAGCGTTATTATTTCATAAGATTGTGTCAAAAAATATAAATAACAATTATTAAAAGTTAACATAGAATTGCAAAATATTTTTTTATTTAATGTTGATGAGAATATTGGTTTTTGAAAAAAAATATGAATTTAATTTTTATATATTTATTTACAAAAGAATGGATAATATTAAAATAAAAAACTATATTAATTTGAATCATTGAGTGGTTAAGCCAAAACATTATTTTAATTATTTAATTCAAAAATAAAAAATATAGTAAATGCTTAGTATAGAAAAATAATATTATTATAATATGATCATAATATTAATAAAATATAACTATATTAGAAAAAATGACAAATTAAAGTAGTAAATTTTAAATAATAAAAATAATCAAAAGAAAACACTAAAACAAAATGGGATTAAATCATACTACTATTAAGTTTGAAATTGAAAAAAAAGTATAGAAAAATTGAGGATGAAAGTACTAAAAAAAGACATGAATAGTGAAAGAAATAGTGATTTATGAGTGTGTGAATAGTGTTTTAAATAGTGAAAATAAATAGTAAAATCATCTTTTACTTTCGTTTTGACTAGATGGATACTCGCGCTATACTTGCGGTCGAATGACCATTATATATATAGCATTAACGATTCGCATGGTATACTGCAAGTAAAAATTTTATTTTCAATGATTAATTTAAATAGAATCTATATATTGAGCAAAATAACTTTATATATATATAAACTAAGAAAATAAGAAAAAAGTAATAGTGAAAAAAAAAACTAAGATTGAGTAGTATAGTGTGAGGATAAAGTAAATTATCGGCATGTTTGAGAACAAATAACGATCGATTTTTAAAAAATTTAACACTCAATCAAATAAAAAAAGAACATAAATTAATGAGAAAAAAAAACAAAAGAAAAAAAGATGTATAGTGCATCAATTAGTGATTAAATTTTTTAAAAAACATTTTAGAGATCGGAATGAAATATATTGCAAATTAAAAAAAAAACCCTAAGGAAAAAACTAAGCGTGAAAATTAAAAAGAAAATAATAATTTTAAAATTAAAAAAAACTAAAAAAAATTAAGAAAGTAAGTAAGAGTTAAAATTCAAAAAGAAGGGGAAAAAACTCAAGGAAAAAAAATATTCAAATGAATAGTACCCGCATGATGGTTCAATGTTCATACTAATTATAATAATATATTTTAAAAAAATAAAACACTCACTTTAAAAAACATAAAAATAATTTATTGCATAAATTATAATAATATATTTAAAAAACACCAACATTTTAAAATTTTGTTAACAAATAAAATTATATTAAAAAATTAAAGAAATAAATTTTAAACAATATGAGTAAAAGTTAAAAAAAAAAAAAACTAAGAAAGTAAGAATAAATTAGTAGTGAATTAAAAAAAAAAAGAAAAAAAAACTAAGATTGAGTAGTGTAGTGCAAGGGTAAAGTAAATCATCGACTTGCTTGGAAAAAAATAACGATCAATTTTTTAAAATTTTAACACTCAAAATAATTGAAGAAATAAATTTTAAACAATAAGAGTAAAATTTAAAAAAGAAAAACCGAGAAAATAAGAAAAAAGTAAAAATGATTAAAAAAAAGGAAAAAAACTAAAATTGAATAGTATAGTGTAAGAGTAAAGTAAATTATTAGCTCTGTTTGAAAAAAAGGAAAAAACAATTGATTTTTAAAAATTTTAACACTGAATCAAATAAAAAAAACATAAATTGATGAGAAAAAAACAAAAGAAAAAAGACATATAGTGCATCGACTAAGGATTAAAATTTTTAGTTTAAATTTTTTGGGATCGAGAATGGAATAATTTGAAAATTTTAAAAAAAACCTAAGAAAAAAACTAAGGGTGAAATTTTTTTTTAAAAAAAGAAATAATTTAATAATTTTTTAAAAACTAACAAAATAAGTAAGAATGGAAATTAAAAAAGAAAGGGGGAAAAAACTCAAAAAAAAAAAAAAAAGTTCAAATGAACAGTTAAAGGGGAGGGGTAAAATGGTGAGTTCACTGTTCAAATGAATAGTGAACTCCCACCTCTTTTAGATATATAAAGAATAATCGATTTTTAAAAATTTTAACACTAAATCAAATAAAAAAAACATAAATTGATGAGAAAAAAACGAAAGAAAAAAAAAGACATATAGTGCATCGACTAAGAATTAAAATTTTGAGTTTAAATTTTTAGGGATCGAATGAAATAATTCAAAAAATTTAAAAAAACCTAAAAAACAAAAAGACTAAAGGTGAAAATTAAAAAAAAAAAAGAAAGAAATAATTTAATAATTTTTTTAAAAAAATAAGAAAATAAGTAAGAGTGGAAATTAAAAAAGAAGGGAAAAAAACTCAAAAAAAAAAAAAAGAATTTCGGATGAATAGTTAAAGGGGAGGGGTAAAATGGGGAGTTCACTTGTTCATTAAGCTGTTCAAATGAACAGTGAACTCCCCACCTCTTTTAGATATATAAAGAACAATAAATTTTTAAAAATTTTAACATTAAATTAAATAAAAAGAACATAAATTTATCGAGAAAAAAACCAAAGAAAAAAAGACATATAATGCATCGTTATGGATTAAAATGTTTAGTTTAAATTTTTAGAGATCATAATGAAATAATTCAAAAATTAAAAAAAAAACTAAGAAAAAAAAATAAGGGTGAAAAAAAAATGAAATAATTTAATAATTTTAAAAAACTAAGAAAATAAGTAAGAGTGGAAATAAAAAAAGAAGAGGAAAAAACTATATATAAAAAAAAAAAAGTTCAAATGAATAGTTAAAGAGGGAGGGGTAAAAATGGGGAGTTCACTTGTTCATTCAATGTTCAAAAAAACATTGAACTCCCTACCTCTTTTAGATATATAAAGAACAATTGATTTTTAAAATTTTTTACACCGAATCAAATAAAAAAAACATAAATTGATGAGAAAAAACCAAAGAAAAAAAAGACATATAGCGCATCAACTAAGGATTAAAATTTTTAGTTTAAATTTTTAGGGATCAGAATGAAATAATTCAAAATTTTAAAAGAAAAAAAACCTAAGAAAAAAAACTACGGGTGAAAATTAAAAAAAATAATAAAATAATTTTAAAAAATTAAGAAAATAAGTAAGAGTGGAAATTAAAAAATAGGGGGGGGACTAAAAAAAGTTCAAATGAAAAGTTAAAGGGGAAATAAAATGAGGAGTTTATTGTTCATTCACTGTTCAAATGAACGAGTGAAATCCTCACCCTTTTAGATATATAATAATAAAGAATGTATAATATAATGATGAGCGAGAAGAAGATTATGCTATTTTTGGTAGTCGTCAAAGTTTTACTTCCCCCATTATCCTCCTTCCGTGATCTTTGTTTGGAAGCAATTTGTGCGTGCAACCGGGGCCCATAAATCTTGCCCCTTTCATTCAATTTGGAAGCTTTAGTATCCTATATATTACCTCCCATATTCAATGCTTCTTCTCTAGTGATGTTTCCTCCATTGTTGTTCATCTCATGCTTCAAAAGACAAAATAGGCTACCGTGACTAGACATGGTAACGAGTTCATGAATTGTCGGTTTCGGTTTAGGAACCGTCGAGTGCTGAGTTAAGGTTTCACCAAAAGGTGAAATCTTAACCAAACCTTCTATGGACGGTTCCGGTTTCGGTTTGAAATCATAAAACCAACGGTTCCAAACCGTTCGAAACCGAAGGTTCATCGGTTTTTTTATTAAATGAAAAAAAAAATTGAACATTTTTTCTTAACATTAACATTGAAACGAAAAAAATTCTTTTTTGCATAATGTATAAATATTATAATATTTTTTTTACATTATAATGTATTTCACACAATAAATCAAAGGAAAAAAAAAGAAATAAATAAAGAAGGGCTTGAACTTAATTTTTGTAAACACTACAAAAATTAAGCTTCTTACATATCCTCTTGGGGTTTAAAGGAATCAAAGCTTACGTAGTTTTCTTTTACATTTCAAATTACCCCTTTGCAAATTACATCTATGTTTTATATAGTTGCGCCTAGTTACTTTCTTGATTGGAAGTTCCGGCTTTAGAAGTTTCGTTGTTGTGCCGTCGGGTGTTAGATCCATAGTTTCTTCATTGAAATCATATTGTTTTTGTTCTTGTGTTCTCTTGTCGTCTCTTATCCAATCATCCACGCATACTTGGGCTTCAAGTGACTCGGGAGCCAATTGTGATCGCCTATCATCCAAAATATTACATCCGGAGCTAAATGCTCTTTCAATGGCCGTTATTGAAGCTGGTACAACAAGTACTTGTCTAGCTATTATGGACAAGACCGAAAAGGTGTCCGCATGTCTTTTCCATCAATCAATTACTTCAAAATCTACACTCGCATTGCTATCACCAAACTCAAACACGAGTTGTTAGATAAATATCAAGCTCGGAAGTGGAGCCTAATGATCCTCTTAGCCTTTTTGTCCTTTCCATGGCCATAAGATAATTGGCTTTAACACGTTGGCTACTTAATGATGATTGTGGCACAGGTGGTAAAGAGGAACTAGCATGTTGATTACCCACGATTAAAAACATTTCAATATATAAATTTCTAACCTGTTTTATAATAGAAGCGGTTTCTATTTCTATATTTTTATCAAATAATTACAAATACTCATAGTAAGTATTCAAAACAACGAGAAAGACTTTTCATTTTAAATCTAGGATCAAAGACTAAAGCAACAAGATAAATAGGTGGAATTGTTACATAATAACTTAACCATTTTTGTTTCATTATTTGAACAACGAGCATGTAAAGTTGGCATATCTTGTTCTACATGATTAAATGCTTCAATAATATTAATTGCTTCAATCATAAATAAATCTGAAGTTGGTTGATAAACGGCACTAAAAGTGTATGTTGCATTGTTAAAAACACTTAAAAGTTCCAAAAGTGGTTCGCAAATATCAAAATCATTTTGACAAATAAAAACAGAATCAATATTTTCCGAAAAAAATGAGCATAATAAATCTTGATATTCAAATGACTACCTAAGTAAGTCATAAGTTGAATTCCAACGAGTTGGAACATCTTTTGAAAATCGTCTTGGTTTTTTGTTTCTTTCTTTGCAAAACTTTCCCCATGATTTCATCTTTTGGGGATGCGTCTATAAATATTTAGCAAGAGCTTTAATTGGCCTAACAATATCTTTAAGATATTCCAAACCAGATTGCACACATAAATTTAAAACATGACATCCACATCTAATGTTGAAAAACTTACCTCCAAGATGGGGTTGACAAAGTTCTCTTAAAGATTTTACTAAAGCATCATTAGAACTAGCATTATCAAAAGAAATTGAAAATATTCTTAAAGGTAAAACATATTCATCTAAAATCCTTTTTAGTATTTTATATCTATTTTGAGCGAGTATGTTTATTATCAAAAACTCTATATGCAAGAAGATATTTTTGCATGTGCCATTCATTATCAATCCAAAGACAAGTTATACCCATAAAAAAGTGAGTTTGCCATTAATCGGACCATATATCGGAACATATAGAAACACAACCATTCAAATTTATAAATAATACAGTTAATTCTCTTTTTTTAATCTCTATAGAATTTTATAATCTGTTTTTTTAAAGAATGTCTTTCAACTTGTTTGAAAGCGAGATTCAAAGCATTAGAACAATAATCACTAAAACCCATTTTTTGACCAAAAATAAAAGATAAATGATCAACACATATCATTTTAGCCATTTCTTCTTTATTTTTTTATCAATATACTGAAATAAAGAGGAAGATTAAGAAGCAAACCCGGATATTTGTGTCCGATGTCTATCATTACCAAGTACGGATGGATGCTTTTTCTCCAAGTGGGTTTTGAATGTTCCATAACCACCTCCTTATTTGAATGTTTATTGCTTGTTGCAATAGTTGCAAATCACGGTAAAAACGCCTTTTTTTAACGGAACTTTTGAGAAATGAATTTTGAAGATGTCGGATGATCTAGATATAAAATTTGATTGTTATTATTGCTCCCCTACTCGATTTTGATTGACGAGTATTACTTTGTTATGATGGCATATGTGAACTTGAACTTGCCATTTTTTGTAGTATAAAATAATAGAAATGTAAAAATTTAAGAAGTATTTGGAGTATAAAAAATATTATAGGATAGTATAGGGAATTCTAGACTTAAGCGTTTAAGAGGCCGAGAGAGAATGAGAGATTGAGTTGTGAGAAGAATAAAAAAAATTGAGATTGAGAGGGTATTTATAGAAAACAAAAAAAAAAAAAATAGAAAACGGTCACAAATGTTTGTGACTATTTTATAAATGGTCATTTTTTTGTGACCGTTGAGTTGTGACAAACGAGTCACAAAAATGTGACTGTTTGTCACATACTCAATTTACATATATATATATATATATATATATATATATATATAAGTCCAAAAATTAAAAATTATTAGGCTTAATTTTTTTTTTCATTTTTCAATCCAATAGCTACTTTCCATCCCATATAAAATAGGTTTTATTTATTTAATTTTTTTTTGAACCAATCCAAATTTATTAGGAAAAATGTGAAACCGTCGGTTCTACGATTAACCGTCGGTTTAGAATTGTTGATTTCGATTTCATGATACCTTAAACCATAATCAACCCGTAGGTAGCCGGTTATGATTTGATTTGTTTAAGGTTATAGTTTTAACGGTTTCGATTCGATTTTTTAACGGTTTGATTTTGATTTAATTTACGGTTCGAATCAAACCGTTACCATGTCTAACTCGTGACCCACTCTTCCATAATTGTAGCATACTTGTGGCAAACCTTCGTAGGTTACCTTTTACGCCACATCATCTATGAAAATAGAGCTTTTAACTGGTGTGCCCAAATCAATATTAATAGCCACCCTTGTAAACTTAGCCCTCATGCTAGTTCGTGCATTCAAGTCAATTTTAATGGTGTTTCCAATCATGTTCCCCATTGCTTTTAGGATTTATAGATGGTATCAATCCAATGGTAAATCTAAGAATCTAACCTATACGACAGCTCACTTAATCATATTTTTTGAGGCTCTGAAATTATGATCCCATGGTTGAATAGTTAAATAGTGTTCAACAATCACCCTAAAGACCCCACCAAAGCATGTGAATAGTCAGTACGGATTGTAAACTAGATTAAAAAGTAATCATTTTCCATGTCGAATACTCTGAAAGGCTTAGTAGCATACCATATGGTTTTTAGTCAAATACATAAAGCTTTGTATCTTACGCTTTGACCTATGACTTTGACCACCACAGAAAGCTTCCATGGTTTCTTGAGTCGCTTCTTAATGGGTTCAGATAGTGCTATAGACCAACTATGGTCTTTTTTCTCAATTCGCATGTCTCCCTCATCAACCACAATATAGGCAAGAGATTACCATTCGAATGTTTAGGGTTGCTCAATCTCTTTCCCATCCGTCATTGCTTCCTTGAAATTCGATCTATCTTCAAGCGGTGAAATATGTGTTAGGAGTTTTTGATTCGTCTCTTTATCTCGTAGCCGAACCTTTTTATACTTTTATCTAGATCTGAGGTGACGAACGGATTTTGGATGCTAGTTCAGAGGATATTTCACTAAGGATGGATGACTTTTATGCATAGACCCTACTTTAAAACGAAAAAAATTGGATATGTCTAATTTCCCTTTATAAGAGCACAATTGGACTCCCAATAAGTTATTAATTTTATTACTCTTACAAATGCTTCACTCAAATAATATTACAGCTGATCAAGTAGATCTTTCTTTCTTTGGGCCGCTATGATTACCCCAGGACACAAGGACAACAATATGTAGGCCCAGAAATCAGAATATCGTATAGCTGTGTCATAGCAAGGCATGTTCTTGTCTTTTAAAGGATGCAACGGTCTTGTTCTTTCTATTCTGGCATAGAGATTGTGCTTTTCAACGTATGCTTGGGTTGGGCCGACTTGGGACTTAAAATAATTTTATTCTCTAATTAACGGATTATACAACATTATCTTATACAATTTTTTAACGGATTATACAACATTATCTTATACAATTTTTGGACATTGCTTATGACAGACTTATACTATTTTTTCTCTTCAAGTGCTAGATAAGACCATAAATAGGTTTGTTCACCACACTATTGTTATATATGGTTTGAATTAAAAGATATGGGAATTATGTTCTCTTTTTTTTTTAATTGTCCACACATAAAATTACTTTTCTAAGATCAACCAAAGATGAAAAAAAAAAAAAAAACAACAACTTATTAAGTCTTTGGAAGATAAGCATAAAAAGTTTTACTTAATTTAGAAATACATTAGTTATGCAATTATCTATAGAAGTTTTATTCACTCTTGTAATTAAAAACATAACTGAATTTCACTTTAAATTCATAATGATTTATGCCTCATATGCTCTTGAAGTTCTTTTTCTCATAGTTAATTTTATTCTAATGTGTAGCATTTTTGTTTTGAAATCACCGAAAATTACACTATAGTTTGATATGATACATGGAATCAACATGATAAATGAGAAAAACTGAACTTGCATTGGTATCTTTTATGCATAGCGATGAAAAGCTTTTTTCCTATACGATCCAACAAGAAGGGCTTCAGGAGCCCCAACTTAAAAAATCTAGACCCAACCAAGGTCCATAACTTAATTGCTAAGAAGAACTAGCCCATTAAGCAAGTCTAGAGCACCTAAAGGACATCAAGGGCCACTCCCTTAGAGGAAGACTATATTTGGGGCTCCGGTCCAAAAAAAAAAAAAAAAGATGTTACTTTTCTCTACTAGCACCTAGAGACAAATTATTAAATGAAAAATCCTTAAAGATGACATCAATTTAGATCATCAATCATCATAATTGCATTAATGCTACCATACAATCTAATATAATGACAACAAAACACCAATGCTTGTTAACTCATCTACTAACCTCAAAGAGGAAAGAATATATTTATACCCCTCCAACCATGGAAAAAACTTTCACTGCTACCTATCTAAAGGAAGAAGAAAGAGGGAACAACGGACACAAGATATATAAAATATGCACACTAGAGACACAACGGTCGGACATACGGGAAAAATCTAAAAAAAATTAAGAGAGTATTCAAGCGAGTACTCCTCCTTCAATAAAAAATATAAATACAAGCCAACCCTCTTATCATAGGAACTGCAAACGAGACTCCTAAATTACTCTCTAAATAGGCCCATTCCATACATCTCTCACACTCTTGTTAAACTACATGTAAATTAAAACAAACTAATATACAAGAGCTTTTTCGAGTCAATTCACTACCTTTTTCCCACCAATTTAGGCATTAAAAGGCCCCCACATCCAACTATATAGACTTGATTTGTAGATGCATAGTGTAAAAAAACTTATGTCCAAACTCTACATGCTCTCGCCATTTGCCATTGCTATTGTCCCAATTTTTTTTTTGTTAAGTCAAACAATGACTCATCAATTGGCACCATCTATAGGGATGCGAGCGAAAAGCCAACTAGATTCTTTATATATCCGAGTTTTTCTTTCTAGAGTGTCTCCGGGTTGATGTATGTTGGATCAAATGAAAGTTCTTGAACTTACTACCATTTCAAACTTTGCTAGTCCTAGCACCTAGCTTCGTAGATGCTTCGTTCAATTGAATCAACATATTCAAAGTCTCAAAATGAATTCCTAGAACCTCAAGCATAAATCAAAAAGTTGTCTTTTCTCCCTTCACGTTTCGATAAGGCCAATGCATGCCATACAAGGCACAGAAAAGACTATCGATGTAAAAAATAGGGAGCGAGGTCTCCATGCATCCCTTGAATTCAAAAAAAGTCTTACATATCGCAGGGGATGTAAAAAATTGCCTTAAAAAAAAGGTTAAGTCGAGTAAATTATATATTTTTAGAATTAAAGAAAATAGCTATAAGTTAATTAGAAGTAAATTGTATTTTAGTATAGATCAAAAAAATTAAATTTTGTTATAAAATAAAAATTAGTACCCGACCTTGTAAAAGAGAAAAGAAAAGAATAAGAATAATAAACAAAAACTGAAAAAAAAAAAAAATCTAGGCATCTTGTTATAAAAAATGGGACAACCCTTTTTCATTCATTTTTCACTCATTTTTTTCTTATCATTCTCCTTTAATTTTCGCTACTTCTTCCATCTCAATCTTTCATTTTCAATCTAAAATTTTGCCAAATAACTTAGAAAACCATGAAAACAATATAATCAAAGTGATATTTAGCTAGATTAAAGCTTGGGAGGCTTGAAGGAGTTGTATGATTGAATTTGGGGTTTGAAGACTCATTTGTCAAAAGTGAGATTTTTGCTATTTAGTCTTGAATTTAAGTTTTTTTATATGAGTTTATTGATGCTTTTAGAGTTGTTTTGTATTAGATTTGTTGTTAGAATAAAAATTGAGCTTGGTTAGGGTTATGATCTGAATTAAATTTCGAGGTTTGATGATTAAACATTTATTTATACTAATTGATTCTTGAAATGAGATAAAGGAGGTATGAAAATGATTATTGGACCATGAGTTTGAGAAATTCCCAAGTTGGTTGAGATAATGGATTGTCAAGGTAAGTTATAAGAAAAATTGAATAAGAAGTTAATGATGGATTGTAGAGACAAGTTATATAAAAATTAAATTGAATATTGGTGATGTATAATTGGTTGTAACAAAGTATAAATTGGATTGTTAGAGAGAAAAAAATTATAAAATGAACTTGAAAGATAGTTGTTGGGTAATTGTCTAGAGTTGGTTAAGAGAATAAGGACCTAGTTAAAAATTCTGAATTTAAGTCTTTTCAATAAATTTTGTTCTTGTAATTTTTCTTGTATTTTGATTTCTAAAATAATTCATTTTTTTTCAATTTATTCTTTAATATGTGATATTAATGATTATTTGATCATTTTATACCTTAGATTATTTAGAGCGGGTGACTCCATCTCATCAACTTTGATTTTGTTTGATCATTTGATTGTAAAGTGAGTGGATAGTATACATCATATCATGTTTTTAAGTTTCTTGACATCTCTGTCATGTATCATTGATTAATTATGTCATAGTCATATCTATTAGAACTTAGATGGAAATAAACTTCTCATGTAGTTTGAAATGATTTAACATAAAAAATAATTTGATATGATTCTAAAAAATATTTGATTATGTGTTTTGAAAAAAAGTTGTACTTAATTTAATTATATAGATTTAATTACTAGTTTGATTAAAATTCTTAATTAAAATTTAGTCATATAATTTAAGTAAGTATTTGGTCTATAATTTCAAATATGAGTTTGGATTTGAGGTTAGATAATAATTATAAGATTTGATATTGAATTGTATTACCAAATTTGATTATGAGTATGAACTATATTTGGATATGTTGGTTTTGAAAAATTTTAGAATATATATAAGTTTATCCAATTTTCAATTTGTTTGACTACTTTGGAGTACCTAGCTAAGAGGGCGTAGCTTGTGATGTCACTAATACAAAAAATACTCTAGCTAGTAGGAGAAGTATGGTGTTAGTCCATGTGTCAACCAACATATGATATACCTAACTACGAGAGGGCGTAACATTTAGATGTTTGCATCCAATGATATGATATAACTCAATCACCCTATATGTATATTTCAATACTTGATATGATTTGATTTGATTATAAATATATGAGATTTTGATTATGATTTTTTAATGTTTTGAGAATATGAGATATGATTTGATATTTAAATTATGTATTTGATTTTTAAAAACATGCATCACATCTTGATTAGATTTTAAATTATCTTTAATTTGTCCGTTTTCATCTCTTAATTATGTTATATGTTTTCTACTCGCCGAGCTATGGTTTTGCTCCCATCCTAGTATTTTAGTTTTTTAGGATTTATGAGATTGTCTATTGACTTTCTCAATATTGTTTGTCTTAAAACCAACACATTGATCGTGCGACTCATTTAATTGTTATATTTTAAACCTGTATTTTGAGATTTTTGTACACTCTAGAGCTCTATAGTTATATTTCGACGAGTTATATTAGTTCGTTGATTATGATTATTATTTAGATATGTACAAGCATTATGAAACTATAGTTTGAGTTAAAATTAAGAAATAATGACTAATTATATTTTGATGTTATGAACTCGGGTGAATGTTGTGTTAGGTTGTTGATTTGAATATTATTTTGGATTTACATAAGAATTATAATTTGTGTTAGAATTAAGAAGTGTTGATTAATTAGGTGGTAATATGATGAATTAGATGGATTGATTACTACAAATCTTTTGACTATGGTT